AATAGTCTACACCCCCATGCAGAAATGGAACCTTCCAATGCCGGAAATAGCCAAAAAAGCCCTATTTTACTATAACTTTAAAGTGGTGTATGTCAAAATCGTGAATGACATTCTTTGGACATGTGTCCAAGGTATTCCCATACCAAATTTCAGGTCATTCGGATTTAATATTAGGGCACAGGAGCCAAAAATGTACATTTTTGGTCCGAAAATAGCCAAAAAGCCCTATTTTACACAATTTTAAAGTGATATATGTCAAAAGCGTGAATGGCATTCTTTGGACACGTGTCCAAGGTATCCCCATACCGAATTTCAGGTCATTCAGATTTAATATTAGGGCACAGGAGCCAAAAATGTACATTTTGGGTCCAAAAATAGACCAAAAAGCCTTAATTTTTCCCAATTTTAAAGTGGTGTATGTCAATAGCTTGAATGATTTTTTGTAGACATATGTCCAAGGTATCCCCATACCAAATTTCAGGTCATTTGGTTTTAGTACCTGGGAACCAGATCTCAAAATGTATATTTTTTGCCTGAAAATGGCCAAAAAAACCCAAATAAAACAATTTTTCAAAAAAATGAAAAAAAAAAAAACCGTCAGGGTATTTGCCCACTCTACCTTCATGCCAAATTTCGTGTTATTTGGCCGGAAAATGGCAGAGATGAATCCATTTAAAGAAATGGCAAGAGAAGAAGAAGAAACATGAGGGAACACAATATGTCTTCACCACTTTGTGGTGAAGCCATAATTATTAGATGAATTTGAAGATAAATACACCTACCGAAGGACCGCTGAAAGGAAACCTTGAGGGCGCCATACACACCCGAGTCTTCGCTTGCTGTACTATATCTTCATTCATCCCTGTACGACGAGTCAGCAAAGTAAAAAAACACACACACACAAACGTCAGCGTTCATCAATTATACTGATTATAGTCATGTTTGTCATTGACATTGACCTTCCTTTTTCCAAACTTCATCTTACCTACCAAATATAGCACCACACCCCAATACTGACGAAGGTACATGTAGTAACATTATGCAAGCAAATGCTGGACCCTCATGATTTGTTTACTATCATGTCAACTTACTTAGCCAGAAGATTTACCTTCAAAGTACCAGGTCCAATAGTTCTGTCCATTTCCAGGCGGCCCACAGTAGTCACACTCTGTCCACATGACTATTGGGACGAATCCACGGGCCTGGAGGTAAGAGACAAGTGTTATTTTCCTATCAGTTTCATTTTCATTTCATTTTATTCATTTATCCAGTGTAAGCATGTCGCTATGTTGGCGGTTTTCAAAGCTCCCTGCACAAAACATACATGATATGATAAAAGAAAAGGTATAATCTAGCATAAATACAATCATAGAGTCGTAATAATAGTTCTATGGTGATAAAGACGTTCATTTTATTGCGATCGAAGTCGTGCATTTTCAACTCAAAGAAAGTTTGAATGCGTTTTTGTTCTATATCTACGTGATCATGTTTCCATCCAATTTTCCTTATATTTTGATGATGGGTGATTCCAACCATGTACTAGGAAGCTCTCTCCCTCTATTTCTCTCTCTGTCTCATTCTCTCCCTCTCTCTGTGTTTGTGTGTGTGTGCGTTAATAATGTAGGACACCCTTACAAGACACGTTGTAATGTCGTCTATCGCCTGCAAAACGAGAGAAGCGAAGCCCAATCCATGGCAACTTTCTGTGAGAGAAGTTTCTATGACGCAGGCCACGCTCTCGTCCCTCCCTTGGCGGTTGTGGTGAATGACAACGGGTTTCGGGTTCTCAACCAACTCGTTCGTGTACCGGATTGCTGAAATTATAAAGCATACACGATGTAAGAAATTTTAGACTGCATATCATGACTTTGTTGTAAAGAGTTTGTTTGTTACCTCTGCTAGAAGGTTATGTTTGGGTAGCGTGTGGTTGGGGGGGGGGGGGGGGGCTTAGCACGATAGCTCATGGTATAGATAGCTCTTGTGCTCGGAAAGAAATGGCGTTAGCTAGAAGTGGCGTTAGCTAGAAGCGGCTTGTTCTGGAGCTATAGCTTGACATTTGTTTACATAAATGGATAATGGACAAATTAATCATTGATAGTTTCATTGTTGTTGTTGTTACGTATAGGTCATGTTAGGTTTTGTTCTACATTAGGTCTTATTCAACACATATTTGTACTTTGCCATACATTGTACCATGTGCAATTGTCGTGCAAGAAAGATCTTCTTTATATTGATCATGTAAATGATAGTTTAAATCTTCGTCTTGGTATTTTAGCAACTTTATTCTCAACATAGCAAATGACATAGCTTACTTTGTATTTGCAACATGATATATTATAAAGTTACAACAAAGAAACACACATACATCCCGTATATATTTTTGTGAATACAGGTATAGATCATAGAACAGTCTGTGGCCAAGGAGGTTACCTCCGTGTGGCATAGGTATAAACTACATCGCTCTGTGTAGACTACAACCAAGACTATGGCCAGAAGCAGATTGTTCACTTGTAGATATTTATTTTAAAAACAACTTCTCACCTTTGAAAAATTTAGAAACGTAACCGGTGTATTGGAAGCATCCCACACTCAACAGAAGTATCATCAAGAGTGATAACAGCCAGCGACGTTTCAACAGCATTTTGGACGGCAGACTATGATGAGCCTTACGCAGGTCCGCCATTCTGGTGCATTGCAGAGGACCGACTACTGGTAACTGACCCACAATACACCGGTCCAACTACTTACAAGCAATGTACAGACACTTATTTGGGACAAACATGGAAGACGCCAAAAAAAACAGTTACTCAAGCAACTGGATATGATTTTGAAAACGTCAGACGTTTCAGCTAGTATCCACTAGCTTTCGTCAGTGACTGAGAGACCAGAGGGGAAATGCAGGTTTATAAGCACAAACTATTGATTGATATGCAAATAAAGTGAAGACAAATTTTTTGGACGTCGAAAATGAAACAAAAGTCAGGCAAGTCAAGACAAGACAAGATAATGCAAATTAGGACATGTAAGAATTTGGTTGGATACGCATTTAAGAAATTCAAACTCTACTACTGGTGAATAACAAAGGGCTTTCGGGTTCTCAGCCAACTCGTTCGTGTACCGAATCGTTGAAGTCATAAAGCATACATGCTGTAAGAAATTTTAGACTGCATATCTTGACTTTGTCGTAAACAGTTTTATTTGTTACCTCTGCAAGAAGTTTATGTTTGTTTAATAGTAAGTTAATATAAGATTATTTGTTTAAAATTCTCAAATCAAGGCTATGGATATGATCAAGTGATATAATTAATGCAAACGAGCATTTCATTTGCATAATCAATGAGAAACATTAAAATTAAATATTTGTCAGTTGCAAATCTTAACATAATCTGGCGAAGGTATATATGAGATCATCGAACTCTTTTTTCATATTAGATGATCTAGCAGACTTAATCGGCATTTGCGATGAATGTAAGTGAGTGAGGGATTGAGTGAGTGAGTGAAGCCAGCCTTCATATTCTCTTAATAGCCCCGCCTAGCGAGCCATATTGTTATAGCAGCCATCGAGACGTAAACTGATCATGTTGTTGAGCGAGTTATGCAGGTAGGTTCAAATGTCAGGGATACACATGTAAATCACAAACGCGACAACATGTCCACTGAATCAAAGCGTCGATGTTCTTTCCTAATTCTAATGGTTGCAATAGGTCTCTCAGGCCACGTATGTAGTGGAGGAAACGTTTTACTGGTGCCAATGCCATTCTTTGATAGCCACTGGTTCGGCCTTGCGAAAATCGGACAGGCTTTGGCGATGAAGGGGCACGTCGTCACAGTAATTGTTCCGGTGGGCATCGTAAAGAAACGACAGACAGAGAGGCCGGATTTTCATTACGAAACATTCGAAGACCGAGGAACCAGGGCACGACTGAAGAAAGTTCAAGAGAGGTACTTTTCAGTGGCGGAAACAATGTCTATGAACGAGTGCTTTATTAGACTATCAGTCTCATGTACGAAGGACATTACAAAACACTGCGATTTGCTGCTGGGGGACAGGGACCTCGTAAACCGACTGAAGGCATCCCGATACGATGTTGTAATTTTTGACCCCATCTTCCCGTGTGGCGCAATAGTTGCAGCCATTCTTGATCATCCTCTGATCGCCATCTTGCGTGGAGATCCTTTCTTTCTAGGCCACAAGGCTACAGGTGTACCGCTGCCTCCATCTTACGTGCCACATTTTGCTTCGGATTTTACCGACCAAATGGCTTTCGTACAGCGGGTACAGAACGTCCTGTTGACTACTCTCACACCCATGGTGACAAATTTGCTTGCGAGTAAGACATACGGCGAATTAGTCCGTAAATGCATAGGCGAGAAAGACACTATCCAGAGTGTGGCGTCACGTACGGACTTGTGGCTACATAGAACCGATACTATCTTAGACTTGCCCCGTCCTTCTATGCCCAACATGGTGCAAATTGGTGGCTTGAATGTCCGAGCGGTTGCATCTCTTCCAAAGGTGGGCCCATCATATCAAACGTTATATGAGCAGACAACGAAATATCCTGTTGATATTACAAGTTGAATAACACAGTATGTTGGATATTGCTGGGTTTTAGTTATAGTTGGGACAAAATGCAATTTAAAACGTTCTTCAAATTGATCTTCTATTGCAGCAGTTGATGGTTAATTTTTTTTAATTTCAGGAATTGGAAGCCTTTGTCCAAAAGTCTGTAGATGAAGGAGTGATCGTTGTTAGTTTTGGATCCATGTATCGAACGATGTCACCGGAGAAGGCAGAAATCTTTGCCTCAGCCTTGGCCCGACTCCGGCAGAAGGTGGTGTGGCGGTACACGGGAGAGAAGCCGGCCGGGCTGGGCAACAACACCAGGCTGATGAGCTGGCTGCCTCAGAACGATCTGCTAGGTAAGAGGCAGTTAACATTTATTACTCATGTAGCAGAAAACCAAAACACCATATATACGTACATAAAGGCAGTTAAGGAAGCAGCCCGGACGCAAAATTATTACTTTCCTCATCTGTGATGATTCGTGTTTGGTGTTCAGAGCCCCCTACTGATCGGCCCCAGCACTGCATTTTCTGCGTTCAAGAGTCACACAATCTCAACCATGCACTGTAATATGCTACCTGCCCCCATTTCCCTTCAGTAACTACGAGAAAAAAAGACAGATTAGTGTCAAAGATTACACCTAGGACCAACACGCACATGCACATTTTACCTTTGATTTTCCCTAGGTCACCGCCAGACACGAGCCTTCATCACCCATGCCGGTTACAATGGCTTGTCCGAGGCCCTGTACCACGGCGTGCCCGTGGTGTGTCTGCCGCTGTACGGGGACCAGCCCGGTAACGCCGCCCGGGCGGTGGCCAGGGGGCTGGGGGTGAAGTTGGACTTCAACACGGTCACTGCGGACCTGTTATATCAGGCCATTATCCAGGTTCTCACTAACAACAGGTGCCATGAACTATGTAATCTATATAATTTTACATTTGACTGCCAAACCTGGCCTTTATCAAGGTAGACCTGACCTTGTGGACACGTGCCTTAGGTACAAAATATAGTGGATCAAATGTAATTATTAGTTTGTGACGTCCCCCGTCTGCTATGAATACACGAAGAAGAAGATCTTGCTTTTAGAAGTTTTGGATATATTCAAATTGTGACTTATGCTCCGGAATGTATTTTGTGTCATTGTGATTTCTGTGTGCAATGAATAATTAGCATGTTTAACACCAGTTTTGTATGGTTTATTACCTTTACGCCTTTTCCCTTATTATAGCTTCCATGTGACCGCAGCCCGCCTGTCCCGTCTGTCCCGTGACCAGCCCCAGTCACCCATGGAGCGGGCCGCCTGGTGGATAGAACACGTCATCCAACATGGCGGCCTGCCCCATCTCCGCGCACGCGCCGTGGAGCTGCCGTGGTATCAGTACTACCTGCTGGACGTGGTTGTGTTCCTGCTGTCCGTCTGTTCAGCTGTCCTGGGGACCGCGTGGTGCAGCTGTTACTTCATGTATGCGGTATGTTGCCGTAAAACATCAGCCAAACTAAAGGGTCACTAGGCTAAGCTGATAGAAATATGTTGTTCCATTGCATCTGCCTTCTACAACGGTAGAGTACGATCTCATGAAGGCCCAACTAATTATCCCGCCAACCTCCGCCAAAACATAGACATGCAAAGTAAAAGATAGAAATGCAAATATTTGATGGACGTGTAGGCACTTTCTCATTGGACGAACCGTTAATTGCCATCCTCTCATTGGTTGAACTGCTAATTGTGATGGACAGTGAGGATCGTCATGCCTACACAGCTCAAATACATGTATCTTAGCCTTACTGACATGTATAGAATATAGCCTATATACGTCTGAGAATTGAACCGCAAGTACAAGACCCAAAGACAAGTAATGCATCCTGTGATTGTTTATTATTAGATGACTAGCATAATACTACACATGGTATATTCCCAGATATACAATGATCAATAAGTAGATGAAAACCACCCAGAAACATGTGGAGACAAAAGTCATATATTCATACAAAATCACCCTCTTATAAATACCAACAATTCAATATATTAATGTACGTGATCAAACCATATAGATATGGACTTCATCCCACAAAGAACAAAAGTATAAAACAAGTATCATCGATACGATTTCCAATGCTTCACTCGAAGATAAAGGCATGATTCCTACTTTTTCATACGAACTTATTTTATACATTTAGTTATCGTTAAATGCAATGCTATATTTTAGTCAATAGTTTTATCATATCATCAAATCCAGGCCGAAGTTTTCATGATAAAAGATATAAAATTGACAACACATCAATGACATTACCTAAAACTCGCAATAAAGAATTTGATAAAGTATACTACATTGCTAAAGCCATTGACACTGTACACAACGTGCTCTCTATAACTATAGCGTTTTTGTGTGGTGTGTGCTTTTTGCGCCACCCAGCGATCTAGACGGAACTACATCTACTTACAAGTTAGGCTTATTTCATAATATACTATATATGTATGTCATAAAGAATTTCATTCAAAGAAAACTGCCAGCACTTTTTGTTGATAATTGATGGAGAATATCGATGTTTCATTTCTGTTATCGTAGAAAAGATTTGCCTGAATAGAGTCATGTGACATTTCCGTATAATTTCATTCTAAATCCTAGTTACGTCTGATCAAGATCATAAAATCCGAACTTTTCTTTCTTTTGGGAAAAGAACCTAATACTAATTTTGTTCATATCTGCTCCTGTCAGTGTATTTTGAGTCAATTTATACACGTGGTCTATACCTATTTACATACTTGAGTGCACATGTATTTGTTACGTTGCTAACTTAAAAATTGATTAAGAAAGAAATGTCTTAGAAACACAATCTTTCTTTATCGGTATGTCTTAATCATGAAATAAATCGTATATCTAATATTTAAGTGTAGAAATATGCGGTTAAAGAATTATACCTCAAAATTTGTTACCATATATTACCGCCAACTATTAAATCATAGAAACTTTTAGATTAATGAAAACTGAAACAAGTGGTAACCATTTCCCAATTAAACTAGAATATAGTCATTGGAAACATCGTAACAAGCTATAATGTTGAAGAATATTGTTTTTAAGTGTTCACAGTGTGCACTTACTCTACAACTTACTCTACACATCTAACTTCTTGCACATAGACCTTGATCGGCCATGTACGTTCACAGAATAGAAGATCTCGAGATACCAGAAACAAACTGGCATCTCTTTAAATACTCTGTAGATTTCCTTAAACTCGGAACAATGTATAAAGTCATTATCAATAAGAACACTTCATCTTTTGATGTTCTGTCTTTTGATAAAAGGTTTTGGTTGCAGGAAATTAAGATTTATCTTTTTCTTTTAGCAAGTATTAAGAGGAAGAAGAAGCAGGAATGTTCCTTTCACAATGTTCGCACACATCCCTGGAAATTTCGCTGGTTATTATTTCTCGTATAATATCTATCATAGAAAGCGATATTTGAGACTTATATAGTTCTAGACACTTCGCTGTAATGTTGTCTTAATGAGGCACTTCCTGTTTCATAACCTTTTTCCAAAAGCGATGAACGAAGAGATCCTTGCTCTTGCGGTATTTGGTAAGAAAACTTCCGAGGATGAGTCCCTTGACTTGACTGACGCCGGAGTTGGGTCCAAGGGATATTTCCATCATGAGCTGTCCTATAGGAGCGGCAAAAATCATACTTTATGTAAGCATGTAAATAAAACTGTACAAAATTCAGTGAAGTCTCAAAAACCTGTAGAGCTGCGGTGTTAAAAGCTAGTTTTATGACTATCTATTCAATGAACTGTGTGCATTTGAAACTGATATTCTGATTATGGTTTTTACTTATTAAAGAATAACGTCTGCTGCTATAGTGTGATTTAGAAAAGTTTTGTCTGATATAAAACAGTACGTTTGCAGCGCGTGACTAAATCCGATATCTTGACTTCTACATGATATCATGACTTGAACAGAAATTAACGATATAACTTCAGAATGATTAAAAAACATTGTTGATGCGCACCTTGAGTGTGCGGTTTCATCTCCTTGTGGTCCAATTTCCTGCCGATGTTGTCGGCCAGAAGCTCCCCCTGTGCGGTGCTGTGCCTCGGCATCTTCACCTCCGCCACGTCGTTACACCCACCGATGGCGTACACGTGCTCCAGGCCGGTCACTTCAAACAACTCGTTCACTTTGATCCGGCCGGAATCGTCTAGTTTGCCGCCTGGAGGTGAACATAGAATTCAGATTATGTACGATCAAAGGGTTCGGGGTAATGCAGTGTAAGCGCATCATTTAGACGAAGAATGTCTTTTCTATAATTTAGACGAAGAAGTACATAATGTCTTGGGGGAATGTGTACACACACACACACACACACACACACACACACACACACACGTACGTACACACACAGGATCCCTGTCCTTGGTGCTGAACACTATCCACACACTGAAAATGCTCTGCCCTGACACCATTGTTTAATACTTTTGTGGCGTACAAAGGCAATAGTAACTACATAGGATTCTCACCTAAATTGTTAGCGAATACTGCCGTGTTAGGTTTGACGCCTGTACACCGTATAACCAGGTCTGCACTGACTTCCGTCCCGGCGTCTGTTTTCACTGTTGTGGGCTTCGAGACACTTGTAGCAACTTCTTCAAGGTTTTTCACTCTCTCATCTGTAAAACATGCAAATGGCTCAGTATCTTCCAAAGTACGCTTATTATGATGCTATGTGAACGAACGTAAGAAAGAACATAACTAAACATCGCCCGTATTTTTGTATCAAAAGAAATACGAGATATTTACTTTTAAGTATAACGACAGGTTCAAGATATGAACCTTTAGTTACCAACACTCTCTCGTCTGTAAAACATGCAAATGCCTTAGTATCTTCAAAACTATAAGATATGGTTATTATGATGGTACGTGTCTACATAAAGAATAGACAATAAACTGAAGATCGCCCGTATTTGAGCTAGGAGTGCGTAAGAATACTACATTTTAATTAAAATTCAACGACAGTTTTAAAGAAATGAACATTTATCTACCAGCACCAGCCTCTTTCTAAAACCATACCCAAAATAAAAGTGACGCCATATCTGGCTAGCTTCTCCTGTAGCTTTGTGCGCATGCCCGGTAGTACGTCGTCGTTGATGAGATGCTGGTGAGCGTGGATCACGGTGACGTTCTTGTTTTTGTGGGCGGACAGAATTTCTCCCGTCAGTTCTATTCCCGCTACTCCTCCGCCAACGATCACTATTTTGTCAGCCGTCTCAATCTAGGGAAAAATGGTGAAATTAGCCCTTAAGGTTGATTCTAACGCATTTTAATAATACTATATTCCCTTTACGTAGTCTTACACTAGTGTGTTCATAACAGTTGTACATTGTCAGCAGACGAATTGACTTTTGTTACACCAGTATGAATCTCAATATGTAAAATATTAATGCTGTCGCTGTTGTATTAGAAATCATTCACTTTTAAGAGACTGAAGTCCTTCGTTGCCTCAATTGTTAATGCAAAACAATTACATCTTAAATAGGTTACTTTCTCCAAATATAACGTTAACGTTGCATCGGAATCTAAACAAGCTGAAGCAAGACTGTCTTTATGGCCCCATTCCCACTAGGATAAAATTGTCCGGATCGAGCCGAATTGATTCGCTTTGATCCAGCTTCGATCCGACTCGAAGCCGGATCAAAACGAATCGATTCGGCTCGATCCGGACAATTTTATCCTAGTGGGAATGAGGCCTATGTGTTAACATAGTTTTCTAGGGTTCTGTTAACACACCTGTTCTGCCAGATTGTTGTACCTGCTGTATTCATGTGACTATGGAATGGTATGGGTCATTTTTCTCCGAACAGAGTATCATGTCTGTTTTTATTGTAATGTTTTGTTTTCTAACACACCTGTTCCGCCAGGTTGTTGTACCTGCTGATGGCCTCCTCAGCTGTGATGGTGTCATCCACCCGTCCGGGGAACGGTCCCGTACAGCCGGTAGCCAGGACCAGGTGAGTGTAACTCATGGTCTCTCCTAGGGGCAGACAGAACAGTAAAAAAAAAGGTAAAGGTAGTCCCGTGGCTTTTTTTAAGGCCGTAGGGGCAGTGGGTTGGTAATCCACTGTGTCCAGGGCACGGTATTGGAAGGCGGAGCCCATCCCTAGAGCTCTCCTTCCACCGCCTTTTACCTCCCCAACCGAAGTCAGCTAAGTGACACAAGATCGGTGGCATCGGGCAGGATTCGAACCTCTTGGGTCTGAGACGAACATTCTATCGTACGCCATACGACCCCAGCTTTATAGATAGTACAGTACGTGTCACAATATCATCAATATCTTTGGCATTCGGAATTCTGCCATGAGGTATGCTAGAAAAAGTTACTCCAGAACTTTTGTCCTTGATGGCGGACACCAGGCTCGGCCCTGTGAGACCAATGTCTCTCTCGATCATCGTCAATAAAGTGGCGTGTAGTCTGCTAGCCTGTTAGGGCGAGCCTACGTCGTCGAATTACTGATGAAAATTGCAATGGGAGGGAGAGAGTCATAGAGTTACTTGTTTGACAGATCGTTTCTCCATGGTAAGGTGACGTGTCATAATAAGTCTACAATCTTCTATCCCTTTAAATTGTTGGAAGTGCGGTGAACTAATTTTGTGTGTGGGTTTAAACTAATCCGTATACGTTTGTTGACTGTCACTCGCTAATAATAAAAGAAGACATATACATGTATCACTACTGCGCATGCAGAAGATAGACGCAGGCCATTATAAATAATAAATGATACCATCTATTTTTATAGATGGATCCATTCCAACGGGCCATGCAGCATTATGGAAATACCATAATATGTCACGTTTTATATTGATATTGATATTCAAGTGCTGTTCTCTGTTGAATTGAATTGATGACATGCCTTTTCCCGTCATAGTTATGTTGAGGACTCAATAGTTACAACACCACGACAAATTTATCAAATTGACATTAAACAAAGTAAATTTGAATACAAATAAAACGTACACAACGCCATTATGTTTGTTACCTGTTTCTAAGATGATGGTTCTGTCAGATGTATTGACATCCTTCACTCGACCTTGTTTAAACCGCTTCCCAAACGTGGCATCATATGGAATAAATGTCTTCTTGGCAAAATCTGAAAAAAAAGGATAAATGTTTTAAACAACTGAGCAAATATTGTACTTTAAGATTTCATGATCCATAATATGCATTTTATGATTGGTAATCAAAATCTACGTTTTCAGTTGCACCATAATTGAAATATGTCCAAAAGATAACTGAAATATGTCCACAACATAACTGAAATATGTCCATCTTAACAAGCTTTTTATAATAGTATTTTGTCTTTTATGCAAGGAGAGGCAATGTCAGAAGCAGAGGTACGCAATTACCTGTTCTAACTGCTGACCTAAGAGCACCGATGTGGTGGTGAAAGTATTCCTTTGGGTCGATTAAAGTAAAGTTGATTTTGCCTTGTAATTTCCGTGCAATCGCTATACCCGCGTACCTTCAGGATTGGGAATGAAGAAAGTTAATAGGTTATACACATGTAAATTGGAAAAGGAACATTGATATTGATTGCTGTGTGGATCTATCGTAGGTGTACGTAAAGTAAAACCAGCACCCCACAACACAAAGAGACAGTAAGATAACAATTACTGTAAAACTACTAGTAAACTCCAAGTAGATCCAAGGGTGGCGTATTGGACCATCTCTGGCCAATGGATACTGTCTTTTGCCACCCTAGTATCTGCTTGAAGATTACTGTAAAACCACAAACAGGTATAAGTTATGATTACAGTTTAAACTTGCTGCATAATGACTTCTACCAACACAGATGAACTTTCAAGATAAGTTAGTAATGACCTACCCGCCTCCGACTATAACTACGTGGGCGTTGGCCTGCTCCTCTGATCCGTTGGTCTTGGCGTGGCTCTTCTTGGGTGAAGATTTGGGAGAGGCACCCGGAGACACCTTTGGTGACGCATCCCGACTGTGGTCGCCTGCCTTATGGGGTGCACTGCTGTTTAACCATTAAAATAATAACATTCAGCGCCATGTTTCTTGAAGTTATTAGTCGTACAGTCAAACCTGCCCAAGAAAACCTCTCAGGGGACTGATAGACAATAGGTGAATAGGTGGTCACAAGAGACAGGATTCTTAATGCTTACGTCAATGGGAAAATTATCTAAGGGACTTCATGTAGACGTGGTCACTTGTGCAGGTTTGGCTGTATTTCTGAATTCGCTGCATCACATTTTAACGTGTCATACAGTTCAGTTCTTTGATGCCAAAGCAACTGATAAATTTGCAGGCAAATGAGCACAGCACATACAAACTATTTAGCTACCATGCATACAGCGAAATGCAGCTATGGATCCTAACAGCGGCTATTGCATGCAGTGGAGTTGAATGGCATGCGTTTGAAATTACATGATGCTTTGAGATACCCATTCTTGCCGAAGACAAAGGTCAGGTCAGTGATGGTTCTGTCGTGGTGTTCGACAGGGCTGCCGGCCGGAGAGTGAGACGACGGCGTAAGCAGATTGTTAGTGTGCGAGCTCGGCAGGCTGGGGAGGGACGCACTGCCCACGGGGTTGGGCGACGAACCACGTCTGGGCCGGGGATGTTTGGGACTGACTCTCGGCGAAGGGTGCGACCCGCGCCGAGGACTGACGGGGTAATGACCCGTTGGACTTGTCGTTGGACTCTGCTTAGGACTTGTCGCAGGAGATGGCGTCCGGCTTGGCGAATGAAATATGCACGTTAGATGTGTGATAGGATGGACAGTGATGTAACTCTTAAACCTATGCGAAGATTTCTTTAGTATTTAGTCCCTCTATTTCTATGACCTAAAACCATTTAATCTTTGGGGGGGGGTTATATCATGTGTTATTGTTTTATTTATGTTATATTTTTAGTAATGCTTACCTAGCTATTTTGGTACTAGCAATGCCAAGCATATGGCTCTATTATTCTTGGGTGCAGACTCTTTAAAGTCTTCAGAAAGTGCTAGATGACTATTTTATGTAAATTAAAACAAATACATTTTCTTTTGCTTTTTTTCCGATCTATAACTAGATGTTCACCTTCATAAAGCAAATAGTCTTTGTGCAATCAAAGATAAATCATTATCTGAAACCATGATGTGAGGTTTGACCATTCCCTAGTGTTCAATTCAGATGGAAACTCTTCATGATACCCTGATGCTGATCGTGAAAGAGGAGCGTAATATGATCTATATGATCTTCATTCTATGTTACAGGTACGTTTAATTTGGTCCCTCGGTGACACAAATTCACAAAACCCGCCCAGCTACCGTCCTCGCCCGCCACGCAGTCGGCATTTTAATGATGATAGACGATGACAACAAATACGTAGAGTTCAGACAAATTAACCCAGGTGAATAGAACTGCGGTTATCTTGATTTCATAACGCCCACTATGATTCGTCAGTGTCAGGGACTTGATATGCTGTCTATCAAACGACAGTCACTGATACCATCGCCCTAGATAAGCGGATCACGATGCGTCGATCAAATGATTTAAGAATTGACAGTGACGCATAATCCTACGATACCCAAAGCTCCAAAGCTTGCACAAACCATTTCGTGTTAGTACACTAGCCTGCAGCTATCATTGGTGCTACTGGCAGATGGCCAGATACTACATACAAAACTCCTTTATATATACTGAAAACACTGGAAATCACATAATTCTTCTACCAAATGTTTGACGAAGAGAAAGAAAGCAGTTTAGAATCTTAGGCCTTTTGCTAAACTATTGATACTGCTATTATCATCAGTGAAACTTCTGACAGTACATCATCAACTGCTTAAACTTCGCAATGATGGTGAGAAAACCATTGTAGATGTCCCACACGTACACAAAGACAGAACAGCTATCCATTCTATTCCCAAAGTAGTAGGTAGTAGTAGCAGGCATTTCGTCGGTCTTGCAAGACCATGAAAATACCTCTTGTACATGCACCATGTAATTATTCCCAAAAGTAACTCGATATTTGACGCACTTATTGATAAAGACGAAACACACTGTCTCAACGTGAATATCTTCCTACTCACGACACGTATCGCAATCCTCGAGGCCGGCGCATCGGCACGGGTGACCATGCTCCTCGGCCTCTTCCCCGACCGTGGGCCCACGACGGGTACTGACTCCGTCCCCTCCCCATACCCATGTACGAGGATCGAGAAAGATACGCATACGCCATCATCTATATCATTATTAACATAGATGGTACAATATCCAGTACATCAGGACCAAACTGAATATCTAGAAATCACCAAAAAGCAATGTGAGAGAAAAGCAGCAGGACAAAAAAAAACAAATGAGATTATGTATCTATCTATTAATAAATTATTAGAGTCCTGGCTAATCTCGACCGTAAAGAGATGCAATGTATAACAACATTATCCTTGGACTAAAACTGTCAATTATGTACCTGACATGATGTTAGGTCAAGACTCTGAATTGAGAGGTCCACTACTGCCGAAGTGCTATCTCGTTCTTATCAACTTTGTGCTCTCTCTACACTCCTAATTGATAGGGCTTTTGGTATGTACTTTATTCATAAACCAGTCATGGGCATCAATTATTTAGGAAACACAGGCTTTCAAATGAAATAGCAAGGTTGAGTCATGATTTGATTGAATCATAGAAATGGCACTGGCAAATGACTATTTCGAAAAAAATACTAATATATGTACTCTGCCGAGTAGCTTGCTCAGTGAAACTGTAAAGAGAACTATGGTTAGATGATGGACTGCGTATTTAGCTACAATAACACGATATGTTAGTCCCACATGAAACAATGTTTAACAATCGCAGCCATTATATCAGTCAAGTAGGGGCTATACAAATGATCTCGACAGAAGCACAGACAATCACCTGTGGTTCCAACTGTTACAGACGTCCAGATTCTAGAATCTGACAGAGTTTAAAAGCTCCACTATACGTTCATGTACACCGTGTAGGTATAGACGGGAACTGTTCATGTATACTGTGTAGGTATAGACGGGAACTGTTCATGTACACTGTGTAGGTATAGACGGGAACTGTTCATGTACACTGTGTAGGTATAGACGGGAACTGTTCATGTACACTGTAGGTATAGACGAGAACTGTTCATGTACACTGTAGGTATAGACGGGAACTGTTCATGTACACTGTGTAGGTATAGACGGGAACTGTTCATGTACACTGTGTAGGTATAGACGGGAACTGTTCATGTACACTGTAGGTATAGACGGGAACTGTTCATGTACACTGTGTAGGTATAGACGGGAACTGTTCATGTACACTGTGTAGGTATAGGCAGTCAATGAACAAAGGGGCACTCTTATATAGCATCTCAAAAAAGACATCTTTTAGATTTATGACAGAGAAAATTTGACTAGGAAGTTCATCAAATAAAAAAAAAACAGACTACAGAATTCCAGTTAATTTGTTTAGCTTGTGACGTAACTCAGATGAGTCATTTAACGACCCACCATGGTATAGCTAAATTGCTCTCACTAATATCGGGAACATATGGTCTAATCGTAATAATGATACTTTTCTTTCTGGTTGAGTTACCTAAATGACTACGACTGCCAAAATGTGTTTCAATAGATTTCAGATACGATATGCCTATCTCGAATGGATAACTCTACTGGATAAAGTTACAGCTGACTCAAGTACAAATAACCATTATTTTTCGTTTACTGTCTCCTCTATCTCTTTGCAACTATAGGTATATATCAAACCATTTATCTATTTTTATGGAATAGATTAAAAGCTTGATGATGGCACATTTAATGGATATTATCTTTGAAAGAGATCTCATGATGGAGGAAAGCATATATAATTAGATAGCAATTGCTGCTGCTACTATTACAGTGATTGCTAATTGTATACCAAAGGCTTTTACCGTGATGTTTACTCACAGCCTTTTATTCGCAATCATGACTAAGATTGCCTCAATTTTCCTGCCTATAATCTTGCGTAAAACCTATTATTTCCGGAATGCAAAATAGAAGAGTTTTACGTTTTTCCTGTACCTTATGCATAGTTGGAACGTATCTTATACATGTACTGTTAAAATGGCCGTACATAATGCAAGGATTTGCATTCCCATATCCAGGCTGACGAAAGTCAAGCTGTGGTATTATGAAGTATCGTATGTATTCTCTAGTGACTGGACAGATGTACCCGGTAACACTTTACAGTGTATATAGAGCCTTCCCACAGGAGAGGCTCTTACAACTACTTCAAAGCTTGAACAAAACCTCTGCCCTTCAGGGCCTCTTTGATGTGCCGAAGTGCTTGTAGATGCTTAGGGCAACTGGGAGTTTCGTAGTAGTAAGAGATCACTCAATGTCCATATGATGTACAACGGAGTTCTCTGTTTTGCACAACTGCAAAGTTGTCGGGAAAGTTAATTCAAAAATATTCAATATGAATCGTATTATGTGTTGCAAGTATGTCAAGCAATGCCGGATATATACTGACCATATGACGTGTAGTTATCATTTGTTTTTACTGGGAGTTTTCGTAGTAGTAAGAGATCACTCAACGTCCTTATGTTGTACATAGGAGTTCGTCATACAGAAGTAGCTTGACTGACTCTCACGAATGTTCTCTGTTTTTTACAACTGCAAAATTGTTGGGGAAGTTGAAAATATACGATATGAATCTTATTATGTCTTGCAAGTATACCAAGCAATGTCGGAAATTACTGACCATATGACATGTAGTTATCATTTGTTTTTAATGGGAGTTTCTTAGTAGTAAGAGATCACTCAATGTCCTTATGTTGTACATAGAAGTTCATCATACAGGAGCTTAAGTAGCTCGAATGACTCTCACCAATGTTCTTTGTTTTTCACAACTGCAAAATTGTGGGGTAAGTTAAAAATATACGATATTAATCTTGTTGCAAGTATGCCAAGCAATGTCAGAAATTACTGACCACTTGACATGTAGTTATCGTTTGTTTTGACCAATACTTGAACTTACATCAACTCAGTCTACTATACAAATCATGTATTTTATTAAGGCATTTGATTTACAAGATGAAATCATTCGACTAACGATGTAAGTCAAATTCATAACACTTATTAGCTGAGGATGATATCTTATTTATCCTACAATATGTACTGTTTGAACCTATTTGAATACTGCAGTTTCATATAAAACATAGAATAGAACGTTGCGTCCCAGACGTATACCACAGGAATGGCAACCTGTTGCATTTCCCTTGGATAATGCCCTATAGTTGAGAGAAGCTGTCTGTTATACATTATTTAGCCGTCCATCTATCTGCACTGCCAGAGCTTATATAACAGGCCAGGGATCATACAATGATAGTGATGGCCACAGTTGGCGATCCATCATACAGCGGGCTCTAATGTCTGACACGTACGTGTACGGACTTTCTACACGGCTCATCTTACAAAGACTGGCCGCAATTCAAACCGTGTTCTTTCAACATCAGTCATATGGCAAACAAATGAACGTTTTGAATCATATAGCCCTGGTATCTCTTTGATAAATGAATAAATCCACAACAGGGATGCATGGTGTATTGTACGGTGTACAACAATTGATGTATTCTGTTGCAAACCAACTTCTTTACCCAGTTGTTCCTTTGCAACACGTTGTATCAGAGTTGCATACACTCCATATAATGAATATATTCAATCACATTTTAAAGGGAGATAACCCTTACTGTGTACACACATATA